GTGGTATGCTTCATTTCGTATTGTTTATCAAAAAACTGTCGAAATCTACCAAAAATTCTTTTCTTCTTTTCCCTTTTTTTTATTATTTTCTTTTCTAGAATTGCAACGACGGAACGACTAACTCCTTCAACTGAACAAAACACAATGCTTTTAAAATTATTTGAAATGAAAGGAGGAGTTGGTCAAAGGGCTTCATTGTATTTTCAGTCGTCTGGTGTACTAAATATCCACTTCAATTCAGAAGAAATAAAGAATGGAAAAACCTCTTTGGCTTTTAAAAAGTTTCCAAATGCTCCACTTTGCTTGATGAACCACTTGTAGCATTCGCTATGTTTGGAATCCTAGCAGGATGTAAATTCTAAGCCATATGGAACTTATTAAAAATTTGAAATTAACGTGAAGATTAAATTTTTAGTGACAAATTCTTCTTAACGTGATATTATTCAGCCATATTATTTTAATTTTATAAAGAAAAATAGGAAACACTAAAATAAGAAATATGTTGAAATAAAAGATGTCGATTAACTACTCGTAACATAAAATTTGGTTATGTTTGGAATCCTAGCAGGATGTAAATTCTAAGCCATATGGAACTTATAAAAATTTGAAATTAAAGCGGAGTTAAAATTTTTAAAGGTGAATTTGCTTTAACGTGATATTTATCAGCCATATTATTTAAATTTTATAAAGAAAAATGGGAAACACTAAAATTAGAAATATGTTGAAATAAAAGATGTCGATGAACTACTCATAACATAAAAATTTCGTTATGTTTGGAATCCTAGCAGGATGTAAATTCTAAGCCATATGGAACTCATAAAAATTTGAAATTAACGCGAAAATTAAATTTTCGTGCCAAATTCTTTTTAACGTGATATTATTCAGCCATATTATTTTAAGTTTAGGAAGAAAAATAGGAAGTATACTGCGTTTAGTACGGATTAATTTTGATCATCGATTTATGACACTAAAATTAGAAATATGTTGAAATAAAAGATGTCGATGAACTACTTGTGACATAAAAATTTCGCTATGTTTGGAATCCTAGCAGGATGTAAATTCTAAGCAATATAGAGTACATAAAAGTTTGAAATTAAAGCGGAAATTAAACTTTTAATGGTAAATTCTTTTTAACTTTATATTATTCAGCCTTATTATTTAAAATTCAAAAAGAAAATTAGAAAGTATGTCACGGATAATCAGGAGAAATTTTGATCATTGTTTTATTACACTAAAGTTATATTTATTTATTGCAATATGTTGAAGCAAAAGATGTTGATGAACTACTTGTACCATAAAAATTTCGCTATGTTTAGAATCCTAGCAGGATGTAAATTCTAAGCCATATGGAACTCATAAAAATTTTTAATTAAAGCGGAAATTAAACTTTTAATGGTAAATTCTTTTTAACGTTATATTATTCAGCTTTATTATTTAAAATTCAAAAAGAAAATTGGAAAGTATGTTACGGATAATAAGGAGGAATTTATTACACTAAAGTTATATTTATTTATTGCGATATGTTGATGTAAAAGATGTTGATGACTACTTGTAACATAAAAATTTCGCTATGTTTAGAATCCTAGCAGGATGTAAATTGTAAGCCATATGGCACTTATAAAAATTTGAAACTAAAGCAGAAATTAAATTTTGAACGGTGAATTGATTTAAACGTGATATTTATCAACCATATTATTCAAATTTTACGAAGAAAAATAGGAAGTATATTGCGTCTAGTACGGAGTAATTTTGATCATTGATTTATGACGCTAAAATTAGAAATAAAAGATGTTGATGAACTACTTGTAACATAAAAATTTTGTTATGTTTAGAATCCTAGCAGGATGTAAATTCTGAGCCATATGGAACTCATAAAAATTTTAAATTAGCGTGGAAATTAAATTTTTAATAGTAAATTCCTTTTAACGTAATATTATTCAGCCATGATATTTCAAATTCAAAAAGAAAATTAGAAAGTATGTCACGGATAATAAGGAGAAATTTTGATCATTAATTCATAACACTGAACTTTGCAATATGTTAATTAAAAAATTCTGCATTTTAAGGAATCATATAGTTTTAGTTCATCGAAAAATGAACGAATTTTCAAAATTTATTTTGATGAAAGCAATCGAGGAAAAAATTCCAAATTTTTTACTATTTTTTCAAGTTTTTATTTCTTAAGCGCAACAACATTTTCTGTTACACTAATGGATATCACTACCGGTTTTTATAATGAAATCAATATTGTAAGTATCATAATCATGATGATGTTATAATGATTTAAGAAGAAATTTTGATCATAAAAGTTGATTTACTACATCGAATTTTGAAACTTGTTGAATTTAATGATATAGAGATTTGCAAATCATTTGTTCTTTTTTTTAAATCAACCTATTTCAAGAATTTATTTTTATTTTTAATTCATATTTAAAAATGTATGAATAATTGATTGTGCAGATTAAAGAAATTTCAATGATGAACAACTGTTTCTATTAAATCTAAATAACTGCAAATTTGAAAAATTGTAATTTGGAATAAATTCATGTTTGGAACATTTTACCATTTACGTAGAAAAAAAATACCGGTATTTTATGCTGTATCTCATAACCTTAAATTATTAAAATACTAAATATAATGTAGTTCATTCATTTTACCCTAATTAATATTGATTAATGAAAAAAGCAAGAAAATATATTTAATAAAAATTCTGCGTCGAAGGGTTAAGACAAAAATGTGAACTCTAAAAATAAATAATGACTTTTCAATGGAAATGAGCTACAAACAGTAACTTTTTAAGAATAAAAAGAACAAAATTGGTTTTTCTAAATATTTTTTATTTTTACTCTTATTACGTCTGTAGCGCTAGAGAGTAACAATTTAAGCGAAAGTAGAAGCTCGCTTTTAAGCTTTTGACGCAGATGGAACACCAGTGTCCCTTTTATATACATATTTTTTTCTGACTCTCTAATTTTAAGCAAAAATATATTTTGGTAGTCTTCAATTAGAAAAAAACACCTAATAGTTAATTTTAAAAAATCTATTTATTATAGGAATTATACTTGTAAAAATATATAAAATCCTAAAAAATAGTTTAAAAAAATCTTTTTTTTCATTCATATTCACAGATTTGTCAATAATTGATTTTATAAATTTAAGTTATTTTTATGACGAAAACGGTTTCTCTTAGATCTAAATCACTGCAAAAAATTGCAAATTTGAGAAATTCTTTAGAAGTGAACCCTGTTTGGAACATTTTACCTTTTTAACATGCTAAATATAATATTCTTCACTTATTTTGACTTAAATTAATAAAAACTAAAGAAAAAAGTACAAAATATATCCTAACTAATGAATGGAAGAAATGAACTTAGGTATAAAAAATGTCAAAAGTAGTTTACTTCTTGCTAACACTTAAGGGGTTATGTTAACCTGTATATGACATTTAAATGCATATGACATAAACAAATCAAAGGCCTGTATATGACATTTAAATCATTAATTCCCATAAGCAAAATCGAGTAAAAAACTCCGAATTTTTAGATTATGAAAAAAAATTATTACGGGAAACAGTAATAATATACAGTAAACAGTAGCTCATACAGTAAAAATATCTCCTGCAATTTAAAAAAAATAAAAAATAAATAACTTTTGAGGATTTTTATTTTTTGCGTTCATGATTTCGCAAAAACTGCTTGACGTATTATAATAATATTTTCAAAGAGCTTTATTTAAATCTCCTTAAGAATTTATAGATCAATATTTAAGTATCCCTTAGTTTAAATAGTTTTTATTAAAAAAATTGTGAAACTTGGTATCTAAGTACCAAACTATTAGTTTAGATAGTTTTTATTTTTTAAAAATTGTGAAACTTGTTATCTAAATACCAAACTATAAACCCAGAGTAATATTTTCAAAGAGCTTTATTTAAATCTCTTTAAGAATTTATAGATCAATATTTAAGTATCCCTCAGTTTAAAAAGTTTTTATTAAAAAAAAAATTGTGGAACTTGTTATCTAAATGCCGAACTATAAACCCAGAGTTACTTTAAATTTTTATTTCAGTAACTGTGTTAAACTCTAACCTTTTGCTGTATCGGTGCTACTATTTGGATTTTTAGAGTGTTTTTGTTAAAGGAAGAATAAAGTGCCGGAAAGAAAAAAGAAAATAAAGAGAGAGAGAGAGAGAGAAAGAAAAGAGGGGAAAACAATTTGTTATCCTTAATGGATCAAAAGCATCTTCTAATTACCAATGTGTATTCTAAGCTCGGAACAAACAATTAATTGCTTCATTTTAAGGTTATATCCGAATTCATGTTCTGAACTCTCCTTTCTAACTGGTGCTCTGATTTTGTCTTCAAAAGAATTAGATCTACGCTAAGAAAATCGGGAGTAAAGTTTTTCTTTTGCAAACTCGAAGGTCGGGGTTGAACGTCATGGCCATCTAACCAACCGTATCCACCAGCACCGATGTGACGTCACGGTGATCTTCCTTGTTACGTCAACGACAAGCGAATTTCAACTGCGGCTAGTGAGTGATCAGTTAGTTTTATTCTCGGTTTCGGAATGGGTGTCGGTTATCTGTGTTTCGGATTTATTGGTGATTTATGGAGTGAACATTTTTAGGATTTTTATTCGATACCTGTAAAAAATTTGGTTACGATTGGCGATATTTTTTTTATTTCCATTGTTTTAAAATAACTATTCTTTCCTATCTGTATTTAGTAAGCATTAACTTCTATATTTTTCGTTAATATTAATCAATAATTTTTTTGTTTTGTTTTAAAAATTAACCATGCTAGTTACTTGTTTGTTTGTTTTTTCAAGAACTTGTGAACCAAGATTTTATAAAAATGGATTCTGATAATCCGTTTGCATGTTTTTAATTAAATTTGTGACTGGTGAAAAAAAATCGTTTGAAAAATAAAAACTTTTATAAAAATCGTTCGTAAAATCTTTTCCATATAAATATTGTTTGAAAAATAAATCGTTTGTAAAAAAAAAAGTTTTTTTTGAAAAGTCGTTTGAAAAATACATCGTTTGTGAAAAAAAGTGAAAATGACTCTGTTATTACGTGAAAAAGTTACATGACAGTAAACCAAATTTTGGCATACGATTCATTCTTCATAAACTTGTTGGATAACCATTTTTGATTTAAAAACTGGATATAATTTCAAGTATTCACTCTGGCTAATTCTGTTATGAAAAGGTGTGACAACATGACAAAACTTCGGCGATCTGGGTCCATGGATTTCGGCAATCCAAGCATGTCTAATGTTTTAGACATGGCTAAAGCTTTATGCTTGGCATGCAAGCAAAGAAGCAAACCTAAGCGAAGCTTTAGTCTTTTTCAAATTAAGGTATGTTTTTCCCCTTTCTTCCACATTTATAATTTTAACTGCAATCTTGTTCGATAATTTAATTTCAATGCATTTAATAATGGCATAATATTTTAAAACTATTGAAAAAGTTTAACTGTGGTTAAAAAAAAAAATTTCTGATTATTTCTTTAAATTGTAATTTTCTAAATAATTGTAATTTATGCTCTATGTAAAAAATTCTAAAGTAGTTCGTTTTTAAAAAACACTTTAATTTAATAACGATTTAACTATTTATTAAACTCGTATAGTAAAAAATAATTCACAAAATGTATAGCAAAATTTTTCAACACTGCATTTTTTAACAAAATTTTAAAACCTGGTAACAGACTTATTTCAATATTAGTTTTTTTTATTTTTAGGAATTTTCGCCTGAACATATGAAATTATGATTTCTTTTAAACGTAGGTGATAGCTAAAATAAGGAAATACCCGATTAATTTAAATAATCATGCTATACCACTCGTTTAATAATATAGTTTTTCACATTCAATCAGTGAATTTAATGATCAATCGAGCTATTAAAAGCAAAAAAGTGTGCATTTAGAATTGATTTCTGTACCTGGAATATGCAAATTTGAATTAATAAGAAATTTAAATAAATACCTATCTTCTTACTGCATTTATCTATTTTCTTCAAATTCTTTAAGTAAAAAAATTTGTGGGCTTAACATTGCAGTTATATTACTACGGGGAAATCACTTTTTATTTAATAATTACTTTCTTGTTTAATTGTTCAAGATTTAAAAATGGATAAATTTGATTTTAGAAAGATATTTGTTTTTGTTTCTTTTCGCAATTTTATACCTACGATTTGAAAGAAAAAATTAGAAACTCAATAAAAATCTTAATTCCTATTTTCAGTGTAATAAATAATATATAATGTAAATCATATCAATTTACCCATTTGATTCCTAAATGTATATACTTCAGCAGACCCAAATGGTCAATATTTTAAAGAAAGTTAAGGCAGGTATTCTTCAAATTTTTTTTTAACTTCCCGTTTAATGCAGCATAATTGCATCTGATCCACGCACCATTAAGCCGGAACTAAAAAGTGCAAGCTATTCCAATAGTCAGTGAGTTTTTAAAAAAATAATTAAACTTATCAGAATTATCTACAGTTAATTCTTAGCGATTCCATAAATGTTATTGTTTCAATAATAATCTGTATTTTTAAATATTTATATAGTTTTATAAAATAAAATCTATTATTTTACACTAATGGGTTTGCTTATTATAAATGGTTTATTACATATGACTGAAATTAAAAAGCAAGTTTAAAAAAAAAATGCTCAATAAAAACAGCACGCTTTTTATCTTGAACGAATTTTGCCGAGAATTCCTTCTTTTTAATTTCACAACGTGTAACAGAAGAAGTAATTCTAACGCTCACATTTTTGTGGTTAAAAAGTACGAAAATGTCAGGAACTTACTCAACCACAGTTCTCTTAACTGCCATTCTCTTTTTCCAAGAATAGCCTTTTTGTTCGCGATCTTCTGCGATGCCATATATTGATAAATAAAAAAATCCCACTTCAGAATTTGAGGATCTTACCACAATAAATAGACCTAGAGTAATTGTTGGAATAAATCACGCAATTTTGTTCTAGGAATTTTCCAAATCGGCTTATAATAATATAAACAATTTAGTCATCAGATCACTCATCATTTTAAGAAAAGTCATAATTATTTTTTTTTAAACTAAATGGTTGTTTATTGGCTTTATTTAAAAAAAAATTCCAAATGTTAATAATTTTGCTTCTTTTAGAAATCATAACTAATAAAAGGGGCATAACTAAATAATTTTATTTTGTTTCATAATTGAGCAATTTTTTTGTTTGCAATCGACAGAATTTAGTGATTAGATCAGTCATTGTTACCAGAGAATCAATAACTAAATAAAAATATTATTTCCATGAGTATATAATCACTTTATAATCGTGACTTAAAAGTCACCTTGTAATTAGTAAGTTTTCAAAATTATTTTGCTTTTATTTATTTATTTTAATTTTTTCGAAGAAGTATCTTATAAGTGAAAGGAACCAGAAAAGAACGTATTTTTATTTAATCCTAATTACAGGATGTTACGTTTAGAATCGGCAAATTTTTTTTGTAAATAAATCACTGATATTTTAAAGAAAAGTTATATATTGCTATTGCAGAGCCGTTTGTTTACCAGAAAAGATATAAAATTGGTTTTTGGCTCTTTTAAGAATTTTTCCATAATTTAATAATATTGTTTCTTTTAGAAATCATAACTAATAAAAAGGGGCATAACTAAATAATTTTATTTTGTTTCATAAATAAGTAATTTTTTTTGTTTGCTATGTACATAATTTAGTGATTAGATCAGTCATTGTTGCCAGAAAATCAGTAACCAAATAAAAATATTATTTCCATGAGTAAATAATCACTTTATAATCGTGACAGATCACTTAAAAGTCACCTTATAATTAGTAAGTTTAAAAAATTATTTTTCTTTTATTTATTTTCTTATGTTTTTTAAACCATCATTTTTCGTCGCATCTTTTCCAAGAAGTATCTCAAAAGTGAAAGGAACAAAAAAAAAAACATGTTTATATTTAATCCTAATTACAGGATGTTACGTTTCAAATCGGCAAATTTTCTTTGTAAATAAATCACTGATATTTAAAGTAAAAGTTATATATTGCAGAGCCGTTTGTACACCAGAAAAGATATAAAATTGGTAATAAAAAAAAAATCTACCTCGTTTTCGCAAGGATTACACGTTTAGGATTACCTAAACTTATTTAAAGAACTTTTAATTTATAATTAAGTATAATATAAAGTGAATTAATTAGTATTAATTTGGAGCAGAATTTTAAACATACTTTTTTAAAAAATTCGATTTCTCGGAAACTATTTGACCGTTTCTGTTCAAATTTTATGTTTTGCCATATAAAATTACATTCTTTAAAGCACATCTTGCTACATGAAATTACATTTTGTATACTTTACAACTTAAATATTTTCGTCAATTATTAAATAAAATAATAAAAATAATGAACAATTATTAAAAAAAATTTTTTTGCATGGCAATATCTTTGGGTAAACGAATTTTATGATTGTGGACAATAACTTTTCAATTCACTTAAAAAGTTCTGGAGATATGTCGAAATACGCAAAAAGTAAAATTAACTTTAATGAGTCAAAACGTTTGACAGCCCATCTGGTCAAACTGTCGGAACCATATTTCCCAGATTTCGGCTATTCCCCCATTTCGAATATCAAAAATCAGATTCCTGAGAAGAAAAAAGAAGATATTGAAATATAGTTTTAATTAATTAGTATATTTGAAGTCAATCACTCCTTTAAACTATTAAGACTGAATCGTAGTACGTGAAAATCCTACTATTAGATCAAAAGTTATTTAGGGTGCGAAAAGTTCACTTGCAATTTTCTTTGACGAAGGTATAATAAATATTAATATTTATATATTATCGGCAGATAAATATCTGAAATTATTTTTAAACTAGAGTTTTATAATAAAAAAAACTGATTGAATTTACCTTAATCTACTTTTAAAGTATAAAATTTACCCATCCTGTTCGAAAGTTCCGCAAACTCATATAGAAACAAATCAGTGGTTAAATTATTGATAAATAACTTAAATAATAAAATGAAATAAATAAAATACATTGAATTACTTTATTTTCATTAATAATTACGTAAATATTAGAAAATAAACCAACCAGTAATTAAATTGAATAAATAAGTAAAGCATTCTTGCTACAAGTGTTTGGTGTTCCCCTTTGTCTAAACTATTTTTAATCGGCTATGAAATATTTTTAACTTATTATAATATAGTAATATATAGTGACTTAATACATTATTATTTAGAATTTTAATTTTTTATTATTTTTAGATGTTACGTTTTTAAATGAAATCCATTTGTACAAACAATTTCTGCCAAAAATATACAAACAATTTCTTATTACTTAAAAAATTATAATAAATTTAATCATAAATTCGAACATTTATAACACTATTAGAATTATTTCAGATTATTTTCAGTATTATTAAATTCATTATTATTAGACTTTTTTTACCGTTTTAACACCATTATTACTACACTGTAAAAAATTTCGTATCAAATTACGGTCTAAAGTACCGTAATTTTTTTAAGTAATATTTTTTTCATTTGTCTGATTTAGTGATTTTACGGTAATTATTACTATAAAAATTACATTGCATCTGATTTTCTGTTCCTTAATATGTTCCGGTAAAATGGATTTTACAATTAAAAATACTGCCACCCTGAGTGCCGGTACTATTTACTGCAATTTGATCCGAAATTTTTTATACTGTAGATCATTTGAATAAGCACAGAATTTGAATTAAATCTTGTTTATGAACATGTAAGATTTAGTTAACTGAAGTCCCCAAATAAGGAGCCTCTAGCACCATTTAGGTAGAAAAATCTTTCACCTTGAATCTTTTCTATCTATTTATGTAGGAGATTGGTTAAATTACTGCGTAATTAATATTTTTGTTTACCGGTTAAACTACGCATTGTTCCTTAAATTGTTTCCCACTTAGCATTTTAAATTTCGCTCACGTTTTGGAGTGTTTAAAAACTTCTATTTTTTAATAAATTAGAGTCTATTAGCATATAAGTTGTTTAAAAAGTAATTTTTTGTTTTTTAAACGATGGCATAATGCTTATTTGTATCAATCTGCTGTAAGTAAAAAAATTATTTTTCATTTTCGTTTCAGAAAAATAATAAAGAAAACATTTCATTATAAACAACATTTTTTTTATGGATTTTCTGTATAAAGGAAAAAATATGTTTTAGCGCGTAGCTCACATACTCCTAAATATGATATTTGACCTAGAAATGTGATAAATAACGTATTTTCCCTCCCCAATTTACAGAGAATATTTACGTGAGGATTCCATACAATAAAATAGGCCTTCAGAGGTTAATAGTTTTATTTTTTAGCTTTTGGCATAACAT